AGAACAGGACAATTTGCCACAGACAGACCCCCTTTTTATGACAGTATTAAACTACGGGAACCTTATCATTATTTAGGTTTTATTGTAATGCAGTAAAAATCACCCACTGTTACAACTGCCTTAAAACATATGAATTAGACTATTTCAGTAACCTTTAAAGATGTGTTATTCTTTGTCATATTACTGAATCGTAAGAAGAGACTGGTTACCTCTGTTTAAATTTCCTATCTATTAAAGTAATACCAGCAATCTGTGTTTTTTCCCAAGCCATTGAGGAAAGGTTAAAATGAAAATTGGACTTTGGGGAGTACCTCCTATTACAAGAACAAGTTGAAAACACCTCAGCTGTAGCCAGTAAAGTCAGGTTCTTTTTTACAGAGCAGTTATCAAGGGAAATGACTGCTGATAACTTTATTGATTACAGCAGCTCCAAAAAATTTCAGACTTTGGCTATAGTCTACCTCTACTGCAGTGAGACAATTTAAGATGGTGTTGTGGCAAAATGAAGGGAGCAGAAGACTGTAACATGTTTCATAAAGCACAGATGCGGATTTACAGTGATTTAAGGATGCAGTTAACTTTATAATTAAGTGGAATACAGAAATGAACACATTTATGAGGCAAAAATCATCATGTTAGCTCTTATTTTACTATCATACTCAGAGACTAACACTTGCAACGAACCTCACATACATAAATGGATAACTCCATGTACCAAACAGAACTGTCAGCTCTTTCACAAAAACTACAATAATTAAGATTGTGTCTTTAATCCCCCAGCTGAGGAAGTTACATATCCGAGGCAAAGAAAAACAGATAAATCGCTGCATAAGAACAAAAACAAAAACAACTTCAAGCATTTCAGACAGGATAGTAGTTATATTACATTATCCTATCAACATGAAGAACACATAAAGTGGTGCCTCGACTTATGACCATTTCGAGTTACAACCAGCTCTGGCCACAAAATTTTGCTCTGACTTGCGGCTGGAGCTTCCAGTTACAAACACAAAAAGGCAGCGGGAAAAGGCGGGAAATTCAGATTGCTAACCAGTGGTAGGTGAAGAGGCTGCTTCTTTGTAGCTCTTTTGCCCCAACAGTTAGAGTGAGTGTGATCGGAGGAGGCTTCGGACTGCCCGGTAAGGTAAGGTGCTGCTTTCTGCTTTTAAAAAACTGTTCTGGGTGGGTTTTACAACGTGGTTTTGGGCTGGGGTGGTTATGTTTCTGTGCTGTGATGGGTCTTGGGGGTTTTGTTTGTTTTTTGTTTTTTCCCATTTCTGATGGGTCTTGGGGGGGTTGCTTGCTTTTTGGAGTTTATTTCCCCATTTCCAATGGGTCTTGGGGGTTTGTTTGCTTTTTGGTTTCCTTTTTTTGAATTTCAAATGGATCTTGTGGGGTTTCTTTGCTTTTTTGTTTGCTTTTTTTCCATTTCCGATGGGTCTTGCATGGTTTTGTTTGCTTTTTGGTTTGCTTTTTTGCATTTCCGATGGGTCTTGCACGGTTTGTTTCCTTTGCTTTGCTTCACCCCCCCCTTAGGCCAGAACACATTAATCATGTTTCCAATGGGTCTTGCAGTGGTTTTTTTTTGGGGGGGGGCCTTTGGCCAGAACAGATTAATTGCATTTCAATGCATTCCTACAGAAAATGGTGCTTTGGCTTATGACCATTTTGAGTTACGACCATCTTCTGGAACAGATTAAGTTCATAAATCGAGGCACCGCTGTATTTGAATCCACAGAGTGAACTGCATGCCTTCCAGTTCAGCAGTTATAGGATTCTAGGATTATTAACACATATTTTAATATAACTGTTTATTAGTATCTCAATGGAATGTTACAACACATCCTCATTTCCTCTAACAGCAAACCCAAGTGTTGGTGGAATGGAAACTAGACCTGGACAACTTAGAAACAGGAGGCAGGGTTGTGCAGAGTAACAAGAATCAATGCAGCTTCAGAGGGAGAATGGGGCTCTGTAAATGGAAATAAAATTGGTTATACTATCTCTGGATGGTCCCAGTAAAAGGGAGCACATTATGTATTATTGTCTAGTTTATGCGGTTTTGTGCTACTAAGCTCTGTGGGTTTTTTTAAATTATGCTTTCTTTTTTAGGGGGTTTTCTGTATCTTTTTAAGTTCTAAAAATATAAAAACCTGTTTAAAAAAAAAACAGAAACAGGAGGTAGGGATCATCATGGCTTTGAGAACCCAGAGATTTGCAAAAGTATAAACATTTTGTACAAAAACAAGAGGACAAAATCCTTCCCCCCCCAAAAAAAATAGCACCAGTCTCCAAAGGGTATCAGTTGGAAAATAAGAGGGAGAAGAAGAGTAGGGGTGAGATCCTAAACTCGCCCCTACTCCCCACAGTTTATAGGTCAGGATCCAGTGGGATTGTTCTACTGATGCAGCTGCTTCTGACAGTGGAACAAATAGGAGGAAATCTCTCTCATCCTGCAGGCCCCTTAAATCTTAACCAAAAGAGCAGAGAATGCTTCCAGAAATTTTAGGGTCACACAATGCTAGTAGTTAGATGCTAGTGCAATGTTTAATTTAGGCCACACTGCCCAGAAGGCACAAAAGCATATTTTTGTAAGTCCTACCTGAAAACTGAAATTTTCATCTCAGTGCAACTAATAGCATTGGGGGGGGGGGGACACCACTGCCTGGCATTGAGACATTGTGGAAAACTTCTGCATCTTGCAAGCCTAACACTGTAAGGGAGAACCCTGTTAAGACAACAGAAATGGCACCGGAACAGCAGCTCCAACACCTTCCATTTTAAAACCTTACCGAGTGTAAATGGTAGATTTCTGTTTTATATACTGCTCCTGTAATGTTTGTTTTCAAAGCAATCAGGCTTGAGTCCTCTGGGCCCATTCCTCAAATCTTTCCACTTTTCATCAAATCCTTTTTTCTCCCTGAAATGGGGTGGGGGGTTGTTCATCACAGCCTTCAAGTTGGGATTAATGGATTAGTACAAGTGGGTAACTGTGTTCAATTCCAGTCACTTTATTACAAATAAGATAGCAACAGATTTTAAGGAGCTTGGGAAAGAGTGGCAAAAACAGGTCAGAATGCTGAGGGATTGACTTGTGAAGGAAGATTACAAAAGTGAAACGTATCACTTAGCTTCAAGTTAACTAAGAGGAAAAGCCATGTTAATTGTCTAAAAATAAGCTAATGGTTAAAAAAGATCCTACTGCCTGACAAAATTAGAGATAATGTGAAGAATTTTTAAAAAGTTAAGAATGGCCAAATGGGTTCATTGTAACTAAACTTAATACCAGAAAAACAGCTCTTTTTGATGCCAAAATATAGTGATATGAAAAAAAAATATTCTGTAGAATTTCATTTAGTTATATGCCATCAAGTCTGAACTGACTTATAGCAACCCCTAGTAGGACTTTCAAGGAAAGTGAGATACTTAAGTAGTGGTTTTAGCAGTTCCACACACCCAGCGACTTTCCACAGCAGAGCAGGGATTTGAGTCCTAATCTACCACTCCATCCACTATACCACACAGAGTACCCTGTATGAATTTGTACAGTATCAATTACCAGTACTATATAAAGCTCTTGGGCATTAAAAGGAAAAAAAATATTTGAAGTTCGATACTTTCAACATTGGGATGAAATCCTCCTTTCCACTTAAAATCTATTCTAACAGACAATCTTCAATAACCCTCTAAGTCTGAATGACTTACTATGTCTTTTTACTGCCTGTATTCTATAATCAGCTAGAACAAACAAAGCATGAAATACTCGGTCACAACATCATTGCTAGGTTCTAGTACATGATTTTTTAGAAAATTATCATCCAAAACACTGGATGGAATTATTATCATGGAATTCATAACTCTTATTCCTTCCTGCGAAAGTTTCTGCTGCAGCAAAAAGAGTTATACCTTTGGCTTAAGCAGATATAGCTCAATAATCAACAACCAGGTTGTACTTTCTGGTACAGCAGTTTCTACTCTGACAGCACGAAGAGACTCAAACATGCGTCCATATGCTATCAATATTTCCTTCTTAACTCATATTGTCATGTAATAAACGTAAGGACATGCCTTGAAGAACAGATTCATTATCCTAACTATAGGCCACTGACATCTGTGCAATAAAACACCACCACGATTTTTTCAGCTGTGTTTTCCCCCTCATTCACTTTGTCATTCCTTTTATGGATGGCACCTTCCCTACCATCACCACATATTAGTGATTCCCTGTCCTCAAGGGCTCCCTTTAAAAAGAATCCAAACCATGGTACCATTGACTTGCAGTGGTCTGCTCTGTGATGCCCTTTGCAATGTGATGCAAATAATGTAATGCATCTAATCCAATATAAACACAACATCAGTGCCTTCATTACCTTTATTCAAATCAACAGTGCTATATATTCTGCTATGTGATCAGACATGCCCCCTGCTTCACTCATTGTCAGAGCTGAATAAATGTGGAGCCAGATGAGCAAAAAAATGGAAATTACTTATGCGGTCCTGCCAGATCCTGGCAATCTATTTAAGCCAGTCCTCCCCAGCTGCATTAGCAAACCAAGGATTCCTAACACTAGTGGGTATTTTGTTATTATATTAACACTGCATACATAGCCAATTTAAATAAGATACAGGGTATTTGCTGCGCTGTCCTCCTCCGCATGGCACCATGTTTAAAAATTGGGTCTTAAGCATGGCCTACAGGAGTCCAGGAGTCCCAACAAGCTACAGTATTAGTGAAGAAGCATATCTCTAATTGTATTGGACAAAAAAAGTTTCACCTGTCAGCATCAATGCTTGTGGCATAACTTTCAGTGGTAAATTGCTATATGTTATGAAGTTAGTGTAGGCAATTACTGTTGCACACCAATCACGTGAGTCAACATACAACAGGACATGGTCAACTTGTCTTGTTAACTTGTGGAATTTGTCTACTATTGTGGAACATTCACTCTCATCCATTTGGAATATTCTTCAAACCCAAAATACTAATCAAGATATCTTACCTGGTGTGGTTCAATGTCCATTTCTGTCAAGGCTGATTGGAAAAACATTTTGGCTGGTTTTCCTACAACCTCAGCTTGAATGTCGCAGGCATACTAGGTGAGAGAACAAATTAAGTTAGTTTTTAAAACAAGTGAATCTGAATGACGTCCACACAGACAGGGCACAATGAGTAAGCCACAAATATATTCCATTTTTGGGAACCCCATTATATTCAGCCTGATGTACAAATTGGCAACTTCACTCCTCAGCCATACATATATTTCTTTTATTAAAGGAAAGGAATCTTTCCATATAAATATCCTGGGTCTGCCAGTCTGACAGCAGGACTCCCAGACTGAATTATTTCATTCTCTGAAGCATGGTTGATTTAATTTAAATCAAACTGATTTAAATCATGACTGAAACCACAATAGAAATCACAATTAAAATTTTGATTTAAACTTAAAAATTCACCCTGTTCTGAAGTAGAATCACTATTCACATCCAAGTGTGGAATACTATTAGAAAGTCAACACAAATCTTCCTTCTTTTCATCCCATACAGGTATGCTTGAATAGCATAAAACAGAGGCACCTGATAGTGACGGGGGGGGGGACACCTTAAAATGTCAGTGTTATGATGGGGCCATGCCAGTGTCCCAGAAATATTAGACCCATCTCGAATTTTGAAATGTATAAACAAAGTGCCAATTGATTATTCTATTCCTCACATTGTAAGCTACATTTTGAATCCTTAGGTTTTCAGAGTAAAGAAGCCAAAATTACATTAAAATTAAAGTGCTGAGCATTTCTCTGCAGCTGGCAACAAATCCTTTCTCCTAAATAAACAATACTTCCAAAACAACAGTACTTTAAGAATAACAACAGCTGTTCATCAACAAAAATCAAGGAGTGGGAAGACCCATGCTTATTAGTACTAGGTGGGGAACATGTGAGATGCAGATGTTTTTGAGATTACAAAATCCAGCATTCCTGACGATGCTATTTATTTTATTTATTTATTTATTTCATTTCTATCCCGGCTATCTGGTCTTATTCGACCACTCTAGGCGGCTTACAAATCAACAGCAGTAAATTCTAAAAGCATTATAAATTAACAAAGATAAAGGTCAAAATAATATAGAAAGAAAAAGATCGTCAGGGGTTAGCTGTTGGGAAGGCCTGCCTATACATAAGTGTTTTTAATTGTTTCTT